GAAATGCCGGGCAATATAGTGAGTTCGTTACGAGGCTCGCCCCGACGTGGTATGGCTCATAATTGTAGAGCTGGGTTTCGAGCCGCGCACCTTGGGGCACGCTGTTCACCCGGTCTGACACCTATTGACCGCAGGAAAATTCGCTTCGACGTTCAGAACCGATCGGATCCGCGACAAATTTCGGATCACCGATACCCTAAGTTAGCTTCGGTTAGAGATAGGGGTTGTTCGTCGTGTTCGTCCCCTCGGGAAATGATCGGGAACGGTTCGAAGGGGTTCGGAGAGAAGAAAGAAAAGCGGATGCAGAGCGGACAAAATATACCCGGGCCGAGGATGAAAATTATTAGCTCGAGAATGTCTTAATCCCCGTGAGCGGAGCGAAGACTCGCGGTGCTCGGCTTAACATAAACTTTTTTCCCGCGGCCTGGCTTGCTCGACGCGCGGAGAAACGCGAGGATGCGGCCCCTGTAAGTGGTGCAACGCGCGGGCTTGCACGCCGCGCCGGTGCATAATGCATGCGAGGCGTCGAACGGCGTTTAAGGACGCCGCACGGTTTTTGCCGGCGGATCCGTGCCCTTTACCGACACCTTATCAGTGGGAACGAGACTCGAAAGCGCGGCGTTCGAAAATATTTCTCGATATCAAGAGGAAGGATCGAGGGATCGTCTTCGGGGAGGAGGAGGATCCTTGATTCTCTCGGCGAACGCGCGTCTTAAGTTATTCCCAGGCTGTCCCGAGTTATTTATCTGTCTACGCTTCGAAGGGGTGAATCTCACCCTCTCCCCTGACCGCGTCTTAATACGCGGAGTAAATAAACCAGCCGCTTCTCCGAGGAGTCATTCGGAAATTAAATTAATCCCTTCCACGATCGTCCCATTAGAATCGTGGAAACATGAAATATATTCGTCTGTGATATCGAGTTGCCTCTTGCTGTTAATAAAAGTGTAGTTAATCGTTCATAGAAATTGACCGAATTCGAGTGTTCATTTTGTAGCCCCATCGTCCTGTTTACCAATTATCATGCTTTGGAATCTTAACACTAAAACTACCAGACGGATCAAAATTTCTAATTTCTTCTTCTTACGATTATTAAAGGGATAACAGATGTTTCTGAAGAATTATTAAAAAAATTGATTTAGCAATGCGCAAATTGAATTCTAAATCAATTAAAGTCCCGACAGAGGAACTTTGGAGTTAACTTTTAACCTTATCTGTTATCTCTTTAATAATCGCAAGAAGAAATTAGGAATTTTGATGCGTCTGGTAGTTTTAGTGTTAAGATTCCAAAGCATGATAATTGGTAAACAGGACGATGACGCTACAAGATGAACAATCGAATTCGGTCAATTTCAATGAACGATTAACTACACTTTTTGGAGTTGAAGGAATTTCAAGAAGTCGATTTAACTATTTGGTAGTTGGCAGTGTTAAAGATGTTGGTATACGAATTCCCAGTAAATCGAAGCTAGGAAATTTGCATTATTCCTCGATTAAAATGATATCCTCCGATGAAAGATGTACCGAGCGTGGAGAAGGGACGTCGCTCCAAGCGGAAAGAGAGCGAAAAGCCACGGGAGGACTTAATACGAAGAAAGTTACGCGGCGGAAGACCGCACGGTATATAAATTCAAAGTAGATTAATATTGTCCCCGCGGCTGTCGCGGCGGCAAACTTATGGCGCTAATTCGGCCGACGAATTATTACTCGGGGCTGCGCCGAGCCAGCTCCGCACCGTTGTTTTGCGAAAAGGGGGGCGCCCTGTCGTTAATAGAAGCCGTACGTGCTCCGCAGGACACCGGGGAACGTGTCCTAGGATATTAGGACCGGGCTGGTATCCTGAATTCCGACGGCTAAATGAAACGTTCGCGGATCAACAGGGACAACTCGTGTTTAGATTCGGAGAGAACACGCGGAAGACAGACAAATGATTTTCTACTTGTAAATGGAAAAGACATTCCAGGGTAATTCAATCCTATGCGGACGAAGACTCTTTAACGCTAAAACTACCAACCAGTTAAATCGACTTTCTCAAATTCCTCTATAAAATCTTTAAGAGTGTATCTCTTGAGACTTTCTTTGATTTACGATTCAGTTTGGAATTGTTAAATTAATTTTTCAGTAACTTCTCAAAGAGACACCTGTTGTTCTTTTAATAATTGCAAAAAGAACTCAGAAATGGGTTATTTTGACCCATCTGGTAGTCCTAGTGTTAAAGTACACAAAGCTAGCAACATATGAAGATAAATTATACATCGAATGATTAAATAATAGAAATAAAGGAAACTGTACACTGATCTATTGCTATTCGAGTAACGAATCATTCGTTTGCAACTTACTATTGCAAATATGAACATTTCATCTCGCCAAGATGTCGACAATTGTTCGCAAAGGGTTAACCCTTAACACATTCCGCGCTACAGAAATTTGGGTAATATTTTGCTTCTGAATTGTATTGGTTTTATAAATAAAATATGGAGTTATATTCAAGTTTTTGGTTATTTATATATTTTGATACCATTACTTCATGTTCTCGCTGCTTTGTAAAGCATACCACCATTAAAAATATTTTCTTACAGAAATTGGCATGTACCATGTATGGTACACGTGGCA